TGTAAATCCCACTCCCTTCTAGCATTGATGATGTTACCTAGTTGGGTCATGAAATATCTGCAAGAAAATAACCCAAGCTCAGAGACTACTAAGGAATCCACAGTCGTCGTCGTCCTCCTCCTCCTCCTCCTCCTCCTCCTCCTCCTCCTCCCTGCAAATCCCACTCCCTTCTAGCACTGATGATGTTACCTAGTCAGGTCATGAAATAGCTGCAAGAAAATAACCCAAGCTCAGAGATCACTAAGGAATCCACAGTCATCAACGTTGTCGTCGTCGTTGTCCTCCTCCTCTTCCTCCTCCTCCGCTTCCTCCTCCTCCTCCTCTTCTTCTTCCTCTTCCTCCTCCTCTCTGTAAATCCCACTCCCTTCTAGCACTGATGATGTTACCTAGTTGGGTCATGAAATATCTGCAAGAAAATAACCCAAGGACCTTACAATTGTTGTCCTCCTCCTCCTCCCCCTTCCTTCTCAATTATGATCATAAGTCAAGGATTACCAGTATCATATAGTGTTGACTGTTGCTGTCTGTCATTATGAATGAAGGGTTGTCCTAGGGGGGTGTCCCATCTAGTCAAATTCTGGTTCCTCTAGAAAAAAAGTAGCCTTGATGGGAACCAAGCTTGTTGAAGGACGTGGTCTTCTTTTTCCAGGAAGAAGAGGAAGAGGAAGAGGAAGAGCCTCCTGTTCTTCCCCCACGGAGCCTGGACCTGGAAGGTGACCCCAGAGAGCCTCCTCTCCCACCTTCTGGCCACCTGAAACAGGAGCAGCCCATCTATACGGAAAGCATCGAGGATGGAGGTGATTATGAGGAGCTGATTGGGAACATGGACTACGAGGAACCCCCTCCTCTCTTAGCTGACTATGACCAGCTGGGGGATTATGAGGAAATGCCGGACCACAAGGAGGCCTCCAAAGATGATGGTGCTGAAGAGGACCAGGAGTATGAGGAGCTCTGCAGCGGCCACCCTGGAGGAATGGCTTCTTCAGGTGAGAGAAGGACGGCGAGTTGGTTGAGTAGGTTGAACTTTACCTTCATGCTGGAGACTCAAGCCCTGATGTAAATGTGTAGTACGTGCTAGTTGTTGCTTAATAAAAACTGGGCTAGAGAAGGTCGCTTCAGAACATATTGTATATTACGAGTTCCCTCTCTTAAGGAGGTCCATTGGTGATAACAAGAAGAAGGGCCTTCTCTGTGGTGGNCCCACAAGGAGGAGGTCAAGCCCCATGAATCCCAGACAGGTCTGTGGAAGGAGATGGGGCTGGGCAATCTCTTAGAAGAGCATAAATGTACAACATAGAAACCATGTTCTGAAATCTTTTAGCTAAGGATCACAGGATCCAATTCCTCTTTTGCAAGTTCAAGCTTCCAGGTTCTTCTCCAGAACTTTGAGGCTCCAAAACCTGAAAGAGATGGCGGTATTTATGTGTAGCAGATGTTTGGCACTCTTCTTTATTATTTTCAAAGGTCCTATTGTCCTCCTCACTTCTCAGCTGTGCATAGTTGTGTATATTTGAGGGGCTGCCACAAAGAACAGGGGGCCAACCTATTCTGCAAAGAACTCGAGGTGAGGACAAGAAGCAACAGATGGATAACTAATCAAGGAGAGAAGCAACTTAGAACTAAGGAGAAACTTCCTAACAGTGAGAACAATTAACCAGTGGAATAGCTTGCCTTCAGAAGTTGTGAATGCCCCAACACTGGAAGTTTTTAAGAAGGGATTAGACAACCATTTGACCAGGAAGGTATAGAGTTTCCTGCTTGAGCAGAGGGTTGGACTAGAAGACCTTCAAGGTCCTTTCCAACTCTGTTATTCTGCTATTTGCATCTACTAGAAAGACGCAGACGGCAGAACTTCACCAGAACACCAATTTTAGCCACCTTAGTTGCGTCTCTGCCTTTCTGAAATCTGTTGTATCTGCACAGCTAGTTGTCAGGGTTCCAAATAGCATCCAAAAGTAAATCAGAGTCCGAGGCAAATAATTCCTCAACATTCCAATTTATGAAGAGAGCCATGTTGGCACATGTGGGAAAACCCGAATCTGAAAGCTTCCCGGTTTTCCCACCCAGTTGAAAGTCCAAGATCTTTCCCCCACACTCACAAGCCCATCCCATGGTCCAATTTCCCCCTGCCACACTGGCAGTTCCTCCCATCCATTTCCGGTCAGGTGCAGAGGTGCAAAGACAAAGGATGACCTTGGCTTTCTAGAAAGAATGTTGTTATGGCTACATATCATCTCTCTCCGTCCAATCCCCCCTCCCATTTCCCCACAATAGAAAAGGCTCAGCAG